TTTGGAGACTCCTAGAAGCAACCACCAACCAAACTAGGCTCTGCAGGCTCAGGCCGAAAGTCACCTTGGGAGGTAGGCAGATCCACTGTGGTCCCTAGGAAGACTGGTAGCCTCACTTGCTGTCTTAAGGCATGGCCAAGAGACAACCAAGAGACATTATGGAGGTCCAACTGCAGCATGAAAGGAAGCTCTAAGGGATGTGATTCATCCAGCTGCACATGTAGACGTGGGTAGGGTATCCTCCTCAGTCCACGCTCTTCTTCATAGTAGGAAATACGGGAGTCCTCTCTGGGTGCAAAGCAGTGCTAGCAATACAGCACCCATTTCAATTAAGTCATGCCAACTCGATGAACCACAGAATGAGCCCCAACCTCCAAAAAAGTTCTATTATAACTTTACGCCAGTAATAATGATGTCTAAATGTCTTGGCCAATATTTTTGAACTAGTTATTTTTGGGGGCATTTCTCCTTAACAAGTTTGAATCCAACTTGATTGTTTTTGTGAAGAGAGTAGTCAGTTCTGACCTTCACATTTTGAGGGCAAAGCCCAAGGGCCAAGCCCTGCAAAGGCTCCATTGCTATTCTCTTTGTTTATGTATGGAGTCTACGGATGGATTTTGGATGAATGACCATTTACACCTTGGCCTTCCCATCCTGAAACATGGTGTCTTCATTGATTCATGTTTACTTTTAATTTCTTTTCAGAAACTCATCTTCATGTAGATTCCCTGCAATGCCCAGCAAACTGATATCAGATATTTTATATTTTTTGTTTATACTGTAGAAGAAATCTTTAAATTTGTCACAGTTACAGAGAAAATGCTGTGTGTACGTATGTGTATGCTGTTTTATGTCTATTTCTTATTCTGCCTGGTTTCTTGCAATCGCATTTATTTTTAAAACATTCCAGTTGGGTTTTTAAGTACACTCACGTTATCTATTAATAACTGCATCCTTATGTTTTCTTTTCCAATAGTTACAACACTTAGATCTCTTTCACATCTCCAGTTAAGTCAGTCCCATACTTGTGATGACAAGAACATCCAAGAATTTTTAAATTAAGATTGCTGAGAGCAGATTCCCTTCTTTCATTTTGGATGTGTCTCCCACGTTCTTACTACAATGACCAGCAGGTTACAATATATATCCATGGCTGTTGGAAGAGTAAACAAAAAAAAAAGATTCAAGATGCAGGACAGGAATTGCTTTTCATCAAAAAAGGTCAACTTCCTAAGGTAGAGAAAAAATTTAGGTGGATTGTGCTCCATTTAGGAAGGGAATGCTGCTGCCCAGAGACCAGGAGGATGCTTGTGGCTTGTTCCCTGCCCATGTGCCAGCCCCAAAGGGTAAGACACTCCCACACTAAGTAGAGCAAGTGAGAAAGAACACCAGAAACCTGCAGATTGTGGACTCTGTGAGCAAACATGTTTGTCATGAGAGTTTTCGGTTCTTTGCAACCAAACGTACCTGAGGATGCAGAGTGCATGGGTGTGAACTAGGTTCTTCCAGCCTGACTCACTGTTTCATCCTTTATTCCATTGAGTTCTTGAGTTCCTCTTTGAGACAGGTCATTTTCTTGATGTCTTTTGTGGTGAGCGCCCTCCTGAGAGCACAGATTCTTCTGGGTGCCATGTCAGGTCTGGATTATGGCATTAACCTTACTTTGAGGTTGGGGAAAACAGGAAAAGGATCAAAGAATACCAGCAGTAAACAGACCCAAGAGCCCACATTCTGGGAAACAGCTACATTCTGTACGTTTACAGCCATAGACTCGATTCCAGCTTGACCCCATGTGTTAGACTAGACCTGCTGTGACTCATCAGCAGCAGATCCCCAAGCCCTTCTGCCACAGCATCACTGGGTGGGTTTGAACCCACCAACCTTTGGGTTACTAATCAAATGAAAACTGTCTGCACCAAGTAGGAATGCAAGGAAGACTAGAGAACACCAGATCCTGGGCCATGAGAAAGACAAGACTATGCTGAACTGGGCCCTGAGGAAGAGAATTCTGTGTCCTGTGCTCCCAAGGAAGAAGAGAGGACATCAAGTCCTGAGCAGCAATGGACTTCTGTTTCCTCTTCCAAGAGTTGAGCACCTCACCTTCCAGGAGCACCCTTAGGCATTGGAGCTCACAAGGTCCTGCCCAACCCACACCTCGTCTGCCATGCCTATGGGACAATTAGCCCTGCCTCTTCTCCCTACAACTTGGGTTGACCCTGCTGTGCAGTCAAGGTCCAACTCATGGCGGAGACATGCACACCCAGCAAAATGGTCCTGCACCACCTACCGCAGATGAGACTGCTGAGTCCTAGGGTTTCCAATGGCTGATCTTCCCAAGTACATCATCAGGCCTTTCTTCCTAGTCCATCTTGGTCTGGAAGCTGTACTGACTCCTTCAGCATGCTAGCAACATAAACGCCTCTAGTGAGGGAGACGTGTTGGCTGTGCATGACATGCATTGGCTGGGAATTAAACCATGTCCTTGCTTGGAAGGTGAGATTCTACCACTGAACCCCCAACACCCTACTCACTGCCTTCAAGTCAATTCTGACTCATAGCCACCCTTTATGACAGAGTAGAACTGCTCCATAGGGTTTCTAAAGCTGTAAATCTTTATGGAAGCAGGCTCTCTCAGCTTTCTCTTGAGTAGTGGCTAGTAGTTTCCAACTTCTGCCTTTCAGTTAGCATCTAAGCCCACTTTTTCTATGCTTCTAACTGGCCCTCCTTCCACTCCTCATGGAATTGGGGGGACATTTAGCCTCTTCCTCTGCACACTTCTGGATTTCCTATTCCTATCTTTTTCCTCCTCAGAATTTAAGTGGACTTTTAGCCCAGCCCCCTGGGCATTTCAAGTACTGCAACTCTCTTCTGACGCTCCTAGGAAGCGGGGTGGACTTTAGTCCTGTCTCCAGTGCCCTCCCTCCACTCGGCTCCACCTCTTCTTCCTTTTGGAGATGATGTAGAGTAAGCCCTTACCCCCATACACCTCTAACCCGTCCTCACGCCTCCCCACAACTTGGGGGTACATTTAGCCCTGGACTGGATACAATTCTGTTTACTTAGAACTTGAGCGACCTTTAGTCCCGCCCCCTACTCACTGCCCCCGCTTCTTCCTCTTTCTATTGGATAAGGGTGGGCATTCAGCCCCACCTCCTTGCACACTTCTCGTCCACCAGTTAGTTTCTTTCTCTTTCTGAAACTCAAATTAACTTTAGCCCCACCCTCTGCACCCATCGGCTCTTCTATCCCCGCCCCTCCGTCTTTTTCATTGGGTACGGAAAACGTTAACCCCGCCTCCTGCGCGTTTCCTGGCGGGTCCACCCCTGTGTTCCCCGTGGGGTTTCTGAGGCTGTAAATCTTTCCAGAAGCAGGATGCCACTTCTCCCGTGGGTTCCAACTGCCGATCTCGAGATTAGCAGCCCAGCGCTTTCACTACACCACCACCAGGGTTTCTCCTCTCCCTGTGGGGTGTGATAATGAGTCCCAGCCGCGCGCACACCACTCTGACTTAATTGACCCCAGCACTTCCGGCCCCCCTCCCGCCTCTCCTCCGTTCCGCCCTAGGCGTGGTCAACCTCGTGGCGGGGAACGACCCTCTGCCAACCTGAGTCGCAGGACTACGCAGGTGCTGGCGCCCTGTGACCTAGCGACCCCCTCGAGTCCTCCCACGTCCAGCTGAGTCTCCGTGAAACTCCGTCGACGATCCTCTTCCCGTCGCCACCCGGCCTCGCCGGCTGCCCCGACGGGGCCGCTCAAGATGGCCGCCGCTTGGGCGAGGCCGGGCGTGGCGCGCCGCGGGGGCGTCTGGGAGTTGTAGTCCGGGCCAGCGCACTGACGCACTTAGCCGCGGGCCGCCGGGCGCCATTGTACTGCGCGGGCGCGGGTGAGTGCGGCTTGGAGTCTGCGCCCGTCGGCTGGCCCGTGCCGTTCTGCGTGCGGAGCCCCTGCACGAGGTCGCGTCCTGCCTCGCTTCCTCCTGCACCGCGCCGGGGTCTAGCCTCGCCTGCCGCTTTCCCACGGCGGGACCGGCATGGCCGGGGACGCGGGAGCGGAGAGGAAGACCGCGCCCTCCGGGCTGGGAGGGGCGTGCGGAGGGATACGATGTGGGGGAGAACCGAGCTCTCCGGCCGTGAGGATGGTTCCAGATCCACCTTACTGGCGTGGCGGGTGGGCGGGAGCTGACCCGGTCAGAGGTCGGGGGTGCATCTGCCACTTCCCGGGGACGGGTCCCTCACGCCTCTTCCTCTCCTCAGAATCGGCCTTCCCAGCACCCTGCCCGCCCCAGGAACCATGTTGAGGAGGAGTGGGGAAAGGACGGCCCTCCCCAAGGCCTGGTCTGGGGTAAGTAGAGGTTTCCTTCGGCGTGAGCCCGCCTGCCCACGGGGGTGGGTCCCCAGGTCCCAGGACCCCTCGGGGAGAGGGAGAGGCTGGCCGGGCATGAGGGGCCCCCGCCTTGCGAGGAGAGACAGACGTGTTTCCAGGGGTGCTTAGAGCTGAGGGCAGCTTGTGGAGGGTTGGCGGGTGAGAGCGGGGTTCTTCCACCTTCTTTGTAGGGTCTGCAGTGGTGGGTAGGTTTCAGGAGTTTCTTTGGCATCCAGCGACAGGGAAGGTGAACCGAGCTCAGTTACAAGGAGGAAATGCGTTCCTGACGAGGAAGGAGGGAGAAGCATCAGGGCTCAGGGTGGAGATCGAAGCCTCGTTGAGGGAGCCCCCCTGTGGAACAATGATAAGCTTATCCTGAAGTCACAATAGGTTAATGAGAAATCATGGAGGAAGGCACCCTCTCGTGTTGTCTTTCTGTGACCTGAACTGGGTCAAGCTTGGGTTTGCTTAGCTCTCATAAAAGCAGGAGCTGAGACGGTGGTGTGGATTTTCTAGAACCCAGAATTCTTAGGTTATGTTGTAGACCTGCATCCTGGGCTGGGTCAGCCTCCTCTGTGCTGTCAGCATGAGTGTGGACTGGCTTTTGCTGAACCGGTACTTGTGGGTCTTAGGAACCAGTGACCTTTGAGGACGTGACTGTGGCTTTTACCCCGGAGGAGTGGGACCTGCTGGAGCCTGTGCAGAAGACTCTCTACAGGGAGATGGTGCTGGAGAACTACTGGAACCTGGTCTCAGTGGGTAAGGCTGGCCTGGCCTGGCCTCGCCGTGTCAATAAAGATCACGCTTTGAAGCCCAAACGTGGTGCCTCTGAGGTGTGTGTCTGTGCTTGGGGTCAGGCTGCAGGGATCAGAATGGGTATGTATGGGCCCTGAAGCCCAAGGGAGAAGGCTTGGCTTTGTAGCCATGGGAAATAGGCACTTTATGGTACTACTGAAGTTTCCCCTAGGCTGTCCCTCAGAGCCCCTGAAGCGGGCCTTTCAGGGATGTTTCCAGCCTCAACAAGAGACATTTGTTTTCCTAATGAGCTCCAGAGAGATAGAGTCAGTGTCCAGCAGCCACAGAGGATCAAAGATCTTGGTTCCTTAATATCTCTACTGTTAGCATGTTCTTTCTCATTCTGAGACCTGTTGCTCCATAGTCGTGGTTCTGAGCTTCATAATTCATATTCCAGGCTGAGAAAACGGAAGCAGTTGGCCTGGGCCAGTCCTGGTTTCCCAGGTGACATGTTTATCACATAAACGAGATTTCCCGAGGGGCTTCAGTGGACCTCCCTTTCTGTATCTTAGGCCAGAAGTGGGCCCCACAGCTGTCCCTAACTGCACAGGATTGTGAGGAAGCAAGCATCTGACACGATGAGGTTGCGGACACTGTTCCAGACCAGAAGTCATCCCATATAGCAAGGAGAAGGTGGGGAGGGAAAGGGACCACGTGTGCCCCAGCGGGGCAGTGTTTTCTCCCAAACTCAGACCCCCAAGCCCTCTCTCTCTTCCCTTGAGCAGAACACCAGCTCTCCAAACCAGATGTGGTATCTCAGTTAGAGGAGGCGGAGGAATTGTGGCTGAAGGAGAGAGAACTCCCTCAAGACACCTATCCAGGTGAGAACCAGGCAAGTGGGAGTCCCTGCAGGTAACAGGCTGACTGGTCAGTCAGGGTATGGTGTTTGGGGAAAGAAGGTAGGCAAAGCCCTCAAGTGCAGTACCCATTGAGCAGTGGCAGACGTGCAGAGTCACTGCAGATCCGCCTTTCAGTCAGGGACGACCTACTTGAGCAGGAAGGTAAATTTAGTGTAGGTGGTAGGTGGTATATGGGGTAATGGTGGGAGGTTCCGTCACCCAGAGTCTACACCCTCCCTTTAGGTAATCAGCATTCTCTTTGTGGTGTGTGTCTCCTGTCAGATATTTTTCTGTGTGCTTGTGTGGGCATGTGAGCCTATGTTTGCATTTGGGGACATTTCATCTTCTCTTGATGAATGTTCAAATCATCAATTTTACATACCTGGCTTGGTGGGGAGGACTTCTCTGTGTACGTTTCATTGCAGGCATGAATTAGGTTTTTCAAAAGTGGATTGTTATGTGCTGTCGAGTCGGACCCGACTCATAGTGACTCCTCCTTGGGTTCTGAGGCAGTAAAATAAGTGGATAGACATCTAAAAATGGAATTGCAGGGTCAACCAATGTGTAATTTGAAAATCTGGGCGTAGTGATTACTGGCTGAAATCTTTAAAACCCTCCAGCTGCTTACATCCACAAGCTGACTTTTCCCCTTCGTCACTGGTAACTCATGGTCTTCTAAGGTTTGCAGAAATTATGCACTGAGTGTTTCACCTGTTTAATTTCTCTCTGCTAATGAGGATGAACGTATTGTCTCAAAGGGGCTATTTGTGGTTTTTTTCTTTGTTAAGTTCAGGTCCTTTCCAATTTTTTCCTATTGATTTGTCTTTTTATATCATTCTTTGTTTTTAATTTGTGGGAACTTGGTACATTCTAGATATTACTATGGCAGATTATCCTGAGCCAATATTTTTCACCTTTCTTTAATGTGTTTTTTATCGTACAGAAGTATTACCATTTCAGGGTTGTTTGTTCCTAAATCCGTTTTGACTCTGGATTATAGCTTTCACATCATACATAGGTGAACTATACAAATACTTTCCTGTGTTTCAGTATTTCTTTCATTTGTCTTTTGTTTTTACTGGAATTTACTTTCAAATATGATGGGGGGCACTAGTACTTTGGGTACCATTTTCTGACTGGCTCCTTCCTCCTGTTATTGGAAACCCTGTCTTTTCTGTGGACTGACTTCCCCTTGTCACCATGGTCAGGTCCCTTCTGGACTCTCCCTTTGACTTGCATGTTTTTGTTTCTGAGTAAATACAATGCTGTTTTAGTTATTGTTGTTTTACAACGAGCTTGGGGAAGTAGTGGCAGCTCTCTTTTTTGTTTTAATTTTTAGCCATTCTCAGTTTTCTGCTTTTCAGATGAGCACTTACCCATCATTTGCTCAGGATTTGCTGAGGAAATCCAGTGAGAAGGTGTATTGTGCTTGGTTGGACTTAGACATTACCTGGTGGGCAATCAGTCTGTTTTGGCACTGATGTCTGTAGAGGGATCAGCTTGCCTTCCTTGTTCCCTGTGTTCAGTCGGCCTTCCCAGCACTGTTCAGCGTTGTTAGCGTTGCTGTGCGTCTTTCTGGTCAGGCGATTGCCGATGACCCAGGGACAATCCACTTAATGTTTGTAACACTCAGGAAATTTCCCACAGTGAAGTCACTTTGACAAATATACAGGATGAGACCAGTGTACCAGTATTTTCCTTTACTTCTTTTGGGCAGTTGTGTAATTTGGTTCCGCATGCTTCTAAACGTGAATTGGACAGTGTGCTGAGTGGGTGTTGGGTCTCTGGCTGACATGAGAAACTTTCTGGGTGTTCACGTGCATGATGCTGGGTTCTGTGTTGACACAGATTGATTTTTGCTTGGATATAGAAATGATTATCCCTTTGCAGTAAACAGAAACCTGTGATAGCCCGGGGGCTCCTGCAGCCTTCTGAGGCAGTCAGAGGCATTTTCTTGGAATGGTGAACACAGTAACATGACAGCCATCCTGTTGGGTTTTTGTAAAGGATTTTTGCATCACCATTCACAGATCAGTTCAGAGAGTGTTTTCATTTTTTATTTGCGTTTGGCCCATCTCTGTCAACTTTGGCACCATCACATACTGGCTTTGCAAAGAAAACTCTGGATGCTGTCCCTTTCCTTTGTTCTCTGCACTCTGATGCAGACAGGAAGGGGGCTTTCCACTGTGGGCAGGGTCTGAGCTGGCCCCCCACATCTTTGGACAAGGTGGTCTGTTGACCACAACATAGAGGAACTGGACTCTGGGGCTCTGTGTCCCCTCTTTTGGACCCTGTTTCTGATTTTCCCAAGTGGCAGCTTGTCAGCTCAGCATCAGCATACTTTGTTTCTCATATACCAAGCCATCCCTTTCATTGCCTTCATTGACAGCCTCGGTTGACTGACTCTAGCACAGGTCACTGAGCTGTGCCCCCCATGCAGCATCCTTCACTATGAGGGCTCACTGTATCTGGCCAAAGGCTACCTTTGTTCTCTTGAGCAGTCTTCTGATGTCCCTACCAGTCTTTGTGGTTTTGACTGTACTCTGGGTGCAGTGTCTATATCACACCCTTCCTGGACCTCAGGTCTCATCTGTGCGAGCAAGCCTGGTGTCTCCTGGCTGTGCAGCTCTCCTGGATGACCTGGTACTTCCTTGAATGCAGCCATCACAGGAGCATTGTGGGTTAAGAACTAGATCCAGAGCTTTGGGGTGTCCCATGGTGAGGAGCTGCGTGTAGGGAAGCTTGGCAGGATGCTGTCTGCACAAGCAGGGCATGTGGTGGTTGTTGCCATGTGCGTCTCTGGGGTCACAGAGTCCTTCATGTGACGTTTGCCCTCCAGTCCATTTCTTCCTTTCATGTCACAAGTACATACTCTGGTCTCATGCAGTGTACGAAACACTGGCTGTTAGAATAAACTGAAGACCTGGCATATTCCTGCCATCATAGAAATCAGTCCACAGGCAGTGCCCTGTACAGAGAACACGCATGAATGTAATTATAAGCCATGGTAAGTACTGAGGAGGAGAAATACAGAGGGAGCAGTGGAAAATGCAGTTGAGATACTGAAGTGGTGACTTGTAAGCCATTTATTTCTGAAAAACATCCCGAGATGTGTGCAAGTGGTAGAAAGCTTTCCAGGCATGAGACAAAGTTTAGGGTGACTGTGAGATGGAAAGAGCTCGGAACATTGAAGAAGTGGAGGCAACTGGTGGTCTGGCACGTGGTAAAGGGGGTATGCAGATGTGGGAGCTGCCTTTTGGAAGCGGGGTGTAGCAGATCACATAGGGCCTTAAACTCTGAGGGGAGTTTAATTCTGGGTGTGAATAGGAAGCAGGTTTTGAGCCAGGTCTATGACGTGGCTTTTCAAGGCTCACTCCAGGTGCCTGTGGACAAAGATCTGTGGTTGGGCAAGAAGGGAAGCAGGCAGGGGCTGTTGGTTTCCCTGCGAGAGTAGCACTGGGATGAGGACAAGTGGCATGAAAGGGCCAAAGGAAAGGAAACCCCTGTATCCTCCAGGTCGTGAGTAAAATGAAGGCTTCACAAAACTTGTGTGGTTGTTCTTTGTAACGTGTATTTATTGCATAGGTGTATATTTGAATATTACATTTTAAAAATACAGTGAAGGAGAAACATTAGTACTGGAATTTTGGCATTAGCTCATGAAGTGCGGAAGGGATAGGCATTTTTGAAGGATAGAGATGTAGCATGTTTAGGTTTGGTTTATTTTCGAGATTTTTTTTGGAAACCATTTTAAAGTTCCAAAGATAGTACAGTGAACTGGCTTAGAGCTTTCACCTGGGCTGCACAGTTTATTGAGCCATCATGTGTGCATTCTGCTAAGAAAGCATGAATGAGGGGACCCGAGAGAGGTCCAGGTGAGGCCTGCGAAGCCAGTTGCATGCACTGGCCTGGAGCTCAGAAGGAAGGCAGGCAGGACATCAGCATGTGAAGTGGTTAGTGGGCAGGCATTCAGAATTGCGTGTTATGCTGCTTGGTAAGCCATCCATTCCCTGTAATGCTCTTTTTCTCCCACACTGATTTCTGTAATGCAGAGAACCAAGCCTGAATGCAGAGCTGAGTGTTAATATGAAACTTTCCAACTCGCCATGTTAGAACACACACTGGCAGTATGGGTGCTGTTGTTGAAGTAGAGAAGCTGCGTGAACACTTAAGGGAAATGGCATCATCCTTGAGCATTACAGAGGGGTGGTGGGAGGACACGGAATTTGGGGACATCTTAGATGGCGCTCAGACCTTAGCCAGCCCTCGGTATCTACTCAGAAAACGTTACCACATACATGACTCCTGGGGTGAAGGCTCCAGATCTAACCCAGAATTAACCATCAGTGAGATAATGAAGGGAACACACTTGTGAAGGTCATGACCTTAGGACAGTCTACAGGACATTCAGCTAGCAGGATATCAGCCCTTCTGCTCTGAGTGTGGCCAGTCTGTGAGACCTAAACAGTAGCAGCAGAAAAGTCATTTATACAGGACTACTTTATTGGAAGGAATATAGGGCAGCCTTGTGGGTTTCATTCTTTGTGTCATCTGAGAGGACTAACACAGGATGTGAAGTGAATATGTGGACGATGGGACGTCAGTAGAATGTACTTGTTTTGCACAAGAAGTGCGTCATTCTGGATGAGATGGAATAGATATGTTCAGTACGAGGAAGATTGCTTTCAGCTCAGCTCTGCCCTCTTTACCAAGAGAAGGTTCATGCAGAAGACAAACCTCCCAGGACCCTGAGTGGAGGAAGTCCTTTTCCTCTGTGAGTTTTTCTGCATCTGAGAACTCACACAGGGAAGGAATCCCAGGAAACTGATCATAGCAAGAAAGGCACTGAGCCAGACCTGTCGTCCTAAGAGAATTCATACTGGAGCAAAAAATTCCATTTATTACAACAGTTATTGTTATGGTTTGACAGTGTTATTATACCATATAACTACACGTGAGTGTTACGAAAGTGTCAAGAAGTG